TCCAATATATGCCTTTTCAATGAAAGATATATTTATGGATTGCTCTATTTTCAAAAATATGTATGTGTGTGTATCGCTTTTCACTAATATGTGCTGATAGATTTGATTACCGCATCTTCTATCAGAACAAATAGGGTAGCACGGTGGCATGCCATTAGTTGCATTTGGAGTTTCGAGTAAGATGGAACTATCAGTAGCTGTTCCTCCAACTATAATGCTGTTGGCAGAATGTGCCTAGTCACAGTTCCCTTCCTTATTTCGTAGCCCATTCTCTGGAGACCGTATCAGCCACCTGGAAACATGTCCTGTAGCAGCACTGCATTGAGAGTGGGTACCATCATAGTCACCTCCCTCTCTAGACTTTTCGATGTATTATGTTATTATATATATATTAATAATTCAATGTCTTCAAAGTTTTATTTGTGTGATATTATTTTAAAAATATTTTCCCATTTTTATTTATACTTTATTTAAAATTTCACAATTTTGCATTTAAATTTATTTTAATATTTTATTTAACCAACTTTTCAAACATTTTTTGCGCTTTGTGTTTTCGGAAAAAAATACTTAGTTTAACATTTCTTTTGTATGTATTTTGTTATTTTATTTTATATACGAAAAATATTTTTACACATAGTACAAATAATTATAAATATAAAATAGGCGTTATTGTTAATTTTCATAATATTCATACCCATATTTTACAAAATTTATTTTGTCCATAATATAAATATATAAATCAAATTTTCCCCCCCTTGAGTATAACAAAATATTTTTAAAAGTTAATTCTGTTGACGTTATGTGGCGCTGAGTTTGTTTTAGACACACATTAAATATGTTATAACACCTTAATAAAGGTTGGCGTTCAACCAACTAAAATATTGGTAAAATAAATTATATTTTGATCCAATATATGCCTTTTCAATGAAAGATATATTTATGGATTGCTCTATTTTCAAAAATATGTATGTGTGTGTATCGCTTTTCACTAATATGTGCTGATAGATTTGATTACCGCATCTTCTATCAGAACAAATAGGGTAGCACGGTGGCATGCCATTAGTTGCATTTGGAGTTTCGAGTAAGATGGAACTATCAGTAGCTGTTCCTCCAACTATAATGTTGTTGGCAGAATGTGCCTAGTCACAGTTCCCTTCCTTATTTCGTAGCCCATTCTCTGGAGACCGTATCAGCCACCTGGAAACATGTCCGGTAGCAGCACTGCATTGAGAGTGGGTACCATCATAGTCACCTCCCTCTCTAGACTTCTCTGATATAATGTTACAATAGTCCAGACAGTAAAGAGTGGACAGTTTTACCCCGGGAAGGTGACGTGAAGCGATCCTTAAGTGTAACTGACTTTGAAGTTGTATTAGAGTTTATAAACAAGACTGTTCCGTGAGATAGTTTGCTATTACAAAACTTTGAATAAAGAGAAAAAACTCTCTCTCTTCTCTTATTTATTCATATTTTATTTATTCTGTATTTAACCTTATATAATTTTATATGGACATTGTAATAAATCAGTTTCAATCTCAAATCTCTCTCTTTCTGTATAACAAAATATTATTTATATGGAAATGTTTCTGTGAGAATATTTATATGAAAAATAAAACGCTACCGTTTAAATAGGCGCTAAACTAATCCCCCTCTATTGATCGTCTCAGCAAACTAGCAGACTCGGGGCGGTGATAAAACCTAGCCTTTGACCTAGTCACTTTACAAGCTAAACACCTTTTGGAAAATTCTGAGTATTTTAAAGATCGGTTGTGGATCTGAAATCACCAAAGCTGATGTGTTGTGGCTTTGTCACTGACTCGAGTCCGCTAGATTACAGAAGGGCTCAATAGAAGGCGCTTAGTTTTAGCGTTTATTTTGATGGAGGAGGTGTCCTTTTATAGCAGAAAATTCCATATAAAATAAGATAGGTCATTAATGGCCAATCATTCATCCAATTTTTTTTTTTTTTTACTTCCTAAAGTGAACCCCCCACAACAATTAATATATACCCCCGCTTATTTTTTATTTTTTTTTTTTTTTCAATTCTAAAAATATAACTGGTAGTATTTTCATGACATCCCTTTTCTTTTAGGATATTCTGATATATACTTGGTGTATTTAAGAACATGAGTTTGTATTCCAACAATTTTTTTATGTTCACTGGAAGATACATATAGAAATCATTGTTCTAACACAAAGCCTGCTTTAATTTTTGCAATTTGTGCAAACCAAGCCGATAAGGAAATGTCGATATTCCTAGTGGTCATCTTTGTCCATAAAGTGCGGAAGTAGATGAAAGCAACTGACGGGGAGTCGTCGCCTATGGCAGAGCGCAAACAAAGAACTCCGACTTCATAAGAATACACCGTGCAGCAGATGGCAAAGATGCTCGACTAAAGTCCACAATGAGATACACTGGCAGCGATCTCTAAGTGTGTGGGGAGACAATCCAGAATGTACTTCATGAAAAATCACAGACCTACGTTGTATGCGTATGCGCAAACCTAGCAACAAAGGTTTCTCTGCAGTGAGCGCCTCCTCATCAATGTTAAGCATACAGAAGAACGTGCCATTCTTTAATTATTTTCTGACACACGAGATTGAAATTTCCAACAGGATAAATAATAGAAAGTTGTTTTCTGATGAGTTTTTTTCCTGTGTCGTGCACACCAAGATTCCGGCAAATGTCAGGGTCCTAGGGGATTTAGGAAACGTTGGTCAAGTGATGCTCAAGGCCTTAGAGTCAATGCAACGTTGGAATGTTGGAGAGAATTGTCAAGCCGTGGATAGGCAGTGTGCTTAATGGCAGATTGCACGTCTTCAAGCAAGATCTTACACCTGCCACAAAAAAAATTGTGACCCAAGAATGCATGGAAGCCAATCTGGATTCTCATGTCACATCTATTGCCACCTAACGCTGATCCCCTGTAGGGTGTGCTGGAGCACGAAACCAATAGACATCCACACAATACTCCAGATGCCAGGAAACGTATTATTCTCACTTTATAACTTCACACTCTGGCCGTTTTCAAGGTCATTCCTGATAAGTGCTAGCCCCCAAAAGGCTTGAAACCATACTCCTAAATAATTTTTAAATTCAACGCTTTTGATATCCATACTAATATGAAACACTATACAGGATAATATGCATTTAAAAATTGTGAAGTATATGTTTTAACCCCGAGTAAACCAACGTGTGAATAAACTGGCAGTCGTCGTAGACGTGGGGCGTAAGTGGTGAGGTTTTTCCCACACGTGGACAACAAGAAGCAGAGGCAGGGCTAGATGTTAGCACCGAGCGGGTCGGAGACAGCCTACGGGACAGAGGTGGAGGCCATGACACAAACCCGGATGCCTAACACCGAGACAAGGAAAGAAATCCAGAAGCGGCCTGCGTAGATGGACACACCATATCACACTCTAAGCTGACACTGCTGTATTGACCCCGGGAGGGTCGCCTATAAAACCCCGGAAGGGGCCCCTTCCTGGGCGTCAGCTATGTCCTCTGAATCTTTGCATCTTAGCTGTCTTCAGACCTACTCTACTCTACTTTTTTTATTTTGACGTCATCATTTTGAGTTTGAATACAAATAAGGATGATACAGGTCATATTAATAAATATATAGCATATCATACAAAATATGGGGGTGGTAGCAAATAGGAGCAGTGTATGTTTTAATAGGAGGGTATGATCATATACATTATTATTATATCACAATTTAAAATAAACTACATATATATATCATTCAAATGACATATCCTGACAACTTACATGAGGATTTTAACGTTAATTTAGGTTTTGTTTTCCATTATTATCTTGATAAATTAGGAAAGGTCAACTATATATAGGTACGCGTTTCGATCTGTTGGCCCTAGTCAGCGTGGTCGAGGTTGTGCCTCGATGACCAAATTTTTGGTCCAAGAATATTTCTGAGAAATCAAGAAATGGGTCTTGTCGCCACTAACCTCTTGTGTTTTAGTTCCATATTCATTTATATTATCACAGAAAGTCGACAGCACAAGACCTGATCGGGAACAAATTCCCCCCATTAAATTACCAGAATGGAAAGGAAAACGGCACCGAAGAGAACCACTTCAGTTTTATTCAACTTTATTCAGGCATAACA